CTCTCACCTAGGGTGTGGTCCTAAGGTCCTAAAATCTAGGAAGCCTACTCTTTAACTTATGCTTAAGGTGATTAAAGGTTTTTTATATCTTCCAATTAATTAAATCATCAATCCCCATCTTTATGACTTAACCACTGGACAAAAATAACAAAACGAACAAAAAGAGAAGGTTGATCCACTTTCAAACAAGTGGTGACCCACTTAAAAACAAAAAAAAAAAAAAAAAAAAAAAGCAAGTGAATCAATCCTAAAAAAAAATTAAAATCTCTCAACAACCGTAATTAAATAGACTCTCGAGAAGAGTGCTTAAGTTTGTTCCAAGACAGTGCACAAAATCAGTTCAATTGGCACTTAAAGTGGCTCCAAAACAGTGCATTAAAATCAAACCTTAAATTTGCATCAAAACATTGTGTAAGCCTCTCTAGATCAACAAGCAAAAGCACCCCAAAATATTAACGAAATTGCTCCAAAATGGTGCCCAAATTATTTCCAAAACAGCATATAAATCCTAAGCATGAAAATATACATATCACATTAAGAAATAAGAGTACCTCTTTCGTAGAATTACAGATCAGAGTGGTGTAACCATAAAGCTTAGGTTCCACATATGCAGAGAATATAAGCATTGTATGGTATGCACGTAAAAATTGAAGCCAATGTGGTAGATATGCAAGCACACAAGTGTGGTAGATATGCAAGCACATAGCAATTGAGTGGCATGTATGTAAAACAAAGCTTAAGTATTAGGCATACAAGTACATATGATTGACATACAGGTTGTTTCCAAGACTTGGGTACTGGATATGTAAATACATATGAATTGCATAGTATGTATGTAATTCTTCTTATCCAAACAATCGATTCAGGAAAGCAAAAAGCAAACTCCAGGAAAGCAAACTCATTTAATCAACATAAGGATCTTCACAATTTCGATAAGAGAAAGACTCCGCAATGGTAAAAAGATTTCAATCGCCACCAGCCTTTTAACCATGCAATTCATTTTCAGAAGATAACATTAAGATTGGAATATTATCAAGCGCAAATAAAATGTTCAGGTATTAAGAACAGAAAAAAGACATCATTAAAATTACCTCTAATGTCAGGTCAACTCACATGAAATATGCAGAGGAGTAATTGATATAGCAAGAGTTTGAGAACAGTAGTAGTAGCATGCAATAAGCTCAAAAAGTTTCAATTGTTAGAACCAAATACTTCGATAAAAGGTTTGTGGTGAACTGAAAGGAATAATCAAAGTAGAAGGTAAGATCAGGGAGTTCAAACCTGCGCGTCCAAGTGTGGCAGACGATCGAAGTGTGGCAGACGATCGACACAGAGAGATTCGAAAGAGAACGAAGATGTTCTATAGAGAGCAGGGGGAGGCGAATCAGACGTATACGAGAAGGGTAAGCGGCTTCGTGCAGAGGAGAAGCCAGTGACTTCGGTGCGGACGAGAGGCGAACGGGGCTTCGATCGAGACAAGAGAGGCAAGCGGGAAGGAAGCCGACGAGGGTGAGCGGGAGAGAGGAGCTGGCGAGTGCGAGTGGGATCTCTTGAGAGCGGGACTGCGAGCGAAGAAGCAGGCGCGAGGAGGAGGGCGAGCGGGAGAAAGGAGCTGTTAAGCGCAAAGGGAGAGCAGGATCGAGCGATTTTGATGCTAGGAACGGTGAGCGAGATTTTTCGTGAGCGAGAGAGAGGCGAGCGAAGCTTCGGTACAGGGAGTATGCGAACTTCGGTGCAGGGAATAGGCGAGTGACTTCGGTTCAGAGAGGAGTGCGGGGTTTCTGTTCCCAGAGAGGAGGAGAGCTTCGATAGGGCGAAGAAGAGGTGAGCGAGGACTTCAGTGCACAGGCGGGAGGTGTCAAGGGCTTCGATGCAGAAGAGGAGGGAGGCAAGTTCGAACGGAGCGACTGTTTGGCGCGGGGAAGAGAAGAAGCCGGCAGGTGACTACAGCGGAAGAGCGAATGGGAGCTCCGATGCAAGAGGAGAGGCGTGAGGGATTGAGCGGTCGAGACTCGATGCTGAGGAGAAGAGCCGAATCTCGTCGACAGAGGAAGATGGAGTCGAATCTCGTTCTGAGGAAGGGGGAGGCCGAATGCTTTCAGTGGGATCTTGTATCTGGGGAATTGCAAAGGAACGTTACGGGATATTGGCGCGGAATTAATGAATTTCCAATGGGGGAGGAGTTTTATTTGGCATATAAGAGCTCCTAATTAAATTTCATTAAGGCTGATTAAATAATTCATTTGAAATTTGAAATTCAAATTGCTTAACTCTTGTTTAGGCTCGAGTCCAGTGAATCGAATTCGAGTTGAACCTGAGTTGAGTTCGGGCCCGCGTCCCGCTAAAAGAATGATTTCTGTGTCATTTGCGCGTGCATGTAACCCTAGTATTACGGGTGTCCTTCCTAGCTAAAGTTGACGTTCCGGACGCATCGGCGTGGTCCGTTTCACCATCCGGGGTCGTCCAGACAAGTTTGCCGGCGGTCGGGCTAAAAATGTCAACTTCGTGCGTGGTGTAGCGAGTGCATGAAATGCGGCATTCGCGAATGCATGAAATGCGGCGTTCGCGAGTATTCGAGTCACAAAAAAAGTTCACCTCAGGCCATTTGATCCTATAGGAACTCATTTTCGGACCCTCTACATGTTGGTCCTTAGCCCTTGCAACTAGAAGTTAAGTGCTTGGAACCACTCGTGCGGGAGGTGGACTCAATTACTAGTCCGCTAGAATGGTCAACAAGGAACCCCTAAAGCTAGATTTTGGGTTCTGGAAGTAGGAAACTAAGACCTCACTAAAAATGAGGTCAACAATTTTCAATTAACATTTTTTTACACTTGATGCTTTACTCTTCTCATTAACTGATAGTAAAAATTTTATTTAAAAAATAAAACAGCTAGCCTCCCAAATGATATAATGTTAGTATTTTATCGTATTCTCACTTTTATCTCCCTTGCATTCCAGGAGTCAAAGACAAAATTACACTAAAACTTGCAATATAAGCAAGTCCTCGTCATAAAATCCAAGAAATACGAATGCGCATAGCTACTGCCTACTTGGTTGCAAGTTAAGTGCCAATGTCTCATTGAAATGAAAAAAAAAGCCAGATTGGTAATCATTGGTTGGAAGCAAAAAATAGGAACATGTAGTTTTTTCCATCTAATCCCCAATCACTTAGTCTGAACTCAGTTAAAAGTATGAAATGCCACACCACTTACATAAAACCAAAGAGCTTTTTCTAAAGCAACTTTTTGAGCTCACATTGCTAGAAGAGAGGACCATTTTCTTGCAATTATGAGCGATTAAGGAAGCTTGGAGTTCAGCGCTCCTATGATAAAAGATCAGACAGCACAACTTCAACGATAAAATGTTATATACCTGCCTTCAATATCCTGACAAACCTTCAAGATAGTCAAATTCCATGCCAAATCCCAATTCCAACAACTTCCTGAGACAGCATGGCTTCATTCCAGCTGCCAACACCTCATAATATTCTCATAAATTGAGCAGATTTATTGGTTCACAACGAATAGAAGATACATCAAACAATCACAAGTAGGCATCACCCAATTATTGTTAATTAAACTGGGGATCTGGAAGCAAACCAAGCACCTTAACACCAAACCCCACCCAAACAACGCCCCCCCGACGCGCCCAAACCCCACCCCCACCACACACCCACACACACATCTCTCTCTCTCTCTCTCTGTGTGCCAAAGCCACAACCACTCAAAAAAATACATAAACATTAAAAGTAATGCCAGGACAAAAAGAAACAAAGCCCTACAGAGATGATATTTCTTTAATAAAGTACTAAATATTTTAGCAAAGAAGATTTATAACGAGAAATGTTTATACTTACAATGTAATTAGACGGGGCTTGAGAATCAACAGCTTCTATGTACGGAGCCATTTCCCACCCTAAACATGGCATGACAGTAAAAATAATAAAATTCAGAAAAGGAAAAAATGAGACATTTACAAGGAATTTAAATACAAAACCTTGAGGTTAAAACCATTAAATAAAAAACGACTCTTTTTTATTTTCCTTAATCTGCATTTTAGAAGTTAAAAACTAAGATTAACAGCAGAAATTATTAGGAGAATAAGAAAGAAAGTTGAAAGCAGAATACAATGAAAATTGCATTGCATTCAAAGATAACAAGTTCACACAGCCAATCAAACACCATAATATTATGTGTATGAAAAATCGAATTGGTCTGACTAATATTGAATATATCTCAAAAGTTTGCACATATCAAACAACATTAGATCAGGACATGAAATACTTGTTAGACAGAATTCATCCTTTAGAATATCATAGGAATGATCACACTGCAGACAATTTGTTGTGCATAACACCATGAAAACTCAACTTCTAGGAATATAATTAGCAGTGAAAAGGATGATATGCAGTCTAGAAAAATATTAGGATAACATGCCCTAAATTTGAAAGGACAAGCGTACCCTTTTCTTTTTTCTTTTGTTTAAAGCCAAAAGTAGCCGTTTCATTTTCTACTAAATTCAAGAAGAGCCATATGTAGAAATTATCTGAAGATAATTAGCCCATAAGATTGCCAATAAATGAGAGGAAATAGCACTTCAATTTTAGTGTTTGAAGTTAGAGAAACAACATTTAAAAAGCAAATTTGATTATCCAACAGGAAAGTGAAACTTCTCATATCCTGCTTTTGGTGGTAAAGCTAATTCAAATGCGCACGCACGAGCACAAAGATGTTAAGCATTGCAAGGAATAAATATTGCCTGGTATTGGACAGGACATGGGAAGCATCAAACAAATTTTAGCAAGAACGTGAGACAAATATGCTAGTAAAAACCAATTCAAAAAATAGCAGCGTACTTGACAACTCATCATCACGCTTGGTTCTTTGAAGATGAAGACACTGTGCTAATACGATGGCTTGTTGGATTAAAGTTAACACCGCCCCCTTGCCAATGATAGCAGATTCTCCATTAGCTCCTACAGTAGTTGCATCTTGGATCAATCTCGGGGCCATCAAAATATCACATTCGTGCTGTCCATTAGATTCAAAATCCAACCTATTTTTGCATGAATGATCATCTGACTGCACCGCTGATAATCCAGTAGTGTTTCCAACACCATACCTCCCTTGTCGATCCAGCATTTTTTGACCATCATTTTGCTCCTGAGAGAATGATTCTAAGTTTCTATTACCCTTTGCTTGCTGACCTTTAGTAATAAGTACTAATTGAGGCTTTGCATCCACCTACATAAAAAACAATTTAGTTGCCTTACAAATATCAGATGTTGATGATGATGAAAAAAATTAAAAGAACATAAAACTTAAACTATTAGCATACTATAGAAGGCACCTGATGAATTGTCCGATAGCCAAGAATTCCTATAACAGAAATATCCGTTCCAGATGTCTCTGCAGCATGTGCAAGATGCAACCTGTAAAAAAGATCGCATTATTTATAATCAATGGCATATTCCATTTGAGCAGAAGAAGCCCATAAAAGATGTTAGGAAAAAGAGGCCTGCAATGAGATATGCCAATCAAAAAGAAAAATCGTATGTTGAGTAGTGCAAAACTCTTTAGTGGAATTTTCAAAAGGCAGAACCAGAGAATCAAAATATTTGACAAAAGTCTTTCACAATAATAATGGAAGCATAATCGTTGGTTGGATTTGAAAGCACAAAACAGCAGTTCTTTCGTAAATGTAAACTATTTATATGATAGTTGAAGCTAGCATATGCAATACATGGCCGTTTTATGTGCATTGAAAAAATAGAAGGAGAAATTGACTCAGCCTCAAGCCACGCTTAAACTTTAATGCTTTAACAATGGTGGGAAGAAAACAAAATATAAGGTATAAGGAATTATTGATGCTCCAACGAGATGGCTTAAATGGATTCTCAGCACTCTCATAAAACAATACAATACATTTATTTTCTTGTTATAATTGCAAGAACAGGAGAAATACTTTCAACGCCCTCTCTTACTCATAAATATCCTTCACGAACCAAGATTGTCAACAAACCATATTTCAATCCAACAAGTCAACAGCTCATAAAAGATCCAAGACATTTTTCAATTTTTTGTACTTTTAATTGTTTTTTTCAGAACCAAAATATGAGGAGGATGATTGAACTTACTAATGAAAGAGACAAACTCTATATTGAAACAAAAACTAATTCAAAATAAAGTCTCAATAATATTATCATGATCAATTATTTGTTCTTCAAACAAAGATTTCATTGGATTTCATCACTTTTAACTTGGTCAACCATCCTATTTAAATAATAAAAATTCCTCTTTTGAAAGGATTAAATATAACAGTTTTTCATAATGAGGTTTACGAACTACCAAAGCACATTAATGTACATTTTCCTTTTAGTAATAAAAGTTCGCATTATTTTAAATTAATCCATAATGATATATGGGACCAACCACAATCTCAATATTTTAAGAGCTCGATGGCATGTCTACTTAATTGACAAATGTGCTATAGATATTCTAGATTAAACAAAATTTTAATCTTAGCAATAATATCCCTATCTTCAACTTCACGGTGTTAACCTCATTTTCAGTGAGGTCTTAGTCTCCTACTACAAGAACACATGATCTAGCTTTAGAAGTTCCTTATTGATCATCCTAACAGACTAGTAATGGAGCCCACCACCCATAGAACTTCGAACCACTTCTTGACCCATTTTTGTGAAGACCTCGCATGCGTAGTCCCAAGCACTCGACTCTTAGTTGCAAGGGTTAAGGACTAACATGTAGATGACCCAAAAAATGAGTTCTTACAGGATCAGACGGCCATAGGTCAACTCTCCATGACTCGGCAACGCAAACACTGCAATTCACACATTCAACTCGCGTAAACCTAGCAATTCACGTCACTGACACTCACATACATCGCGTCGTCAATTAAACCAAAATCAAATTTCAAAACGATACGTCACAAGCTAAAATTTAAAGAAAATTGAAGTTGACACATTTTTGACCCGACCGTCAACGAACTCGTTCGGATAGCCCCGGATGACAAAACAAACCACACACGCGTACGCGTTCAGGATGTCGACTTTAGCTAAGAATGACACCAATATTGATATGGTTCCGCGCGCGGGTGGATGCCAAGAAAATCGATGCACACAAATTTTTAATTAGGGAGTGCGGGTTCAGGCTCAACCCAAGTTCAATTCGGGTTGGACAAGGGCTGAACAAAAGCTAATTAGTTTTGAATTTCAAAATTTTAAATTTCAAATGAGTCATTTGATCTCATCTTAATTGAATGTAATTAGGAGTTAAGATTTTCCAACTGAGTCGGCTGCATGAATGGAATTCATTTAATTCTCCACATAATCTCGCAAAACATCCACTTTGAATTCTACGACTATACAATTCAACGGACTTCACCTTCCTGTCATTCGCCACCCCCACCCCCCTCTTCTTCTCGCGCTCGTCTCTTCTCCTCTTCACCTCTTCTGCTCAAGACTCACCCGCTCGAGTCCCCTCTGCACCGAAACTCCCTCCCTCGACACCTCCCTGCACTGAAGCCCTCACTCGACTCCTCCCCTCTGCAATGAAAATCCCTCACTTGACTCCTACCTGCACCGAAGCCCTCGCTTAACTCCTCCCTGCATCAAAACTCCCTCGCTTGACTCCTCCCTGCACCGAAGCCCTCGCTTGACTTCCCCTTGCGCCGAAGACCCCCGCTCGAGACTCGCCTGCCTCGCCTTCTCTTCCTTACTCAGAAGACCCCTCTCTCGACAGATCTCGCTCGTCTCCCCTCTTTGTGCCAAAGCCCTCGCCTCCCTCTCCCGCTCGTCCAGAGCCTCTCTCGGCATCCCCGCTCGTCTCCCTCTCACGCTCGCACCAAAGCCCTTGCCTCCCTCCTCGCTCGACTCCCGTACCAAAGCGCGACACTTCCCTCTCCACTCCACGCCTGAAGCCCAAGAGCCTCTCTCTCGATTCTCTCACTTGCAAACCCCAACAGCTCTCGACTGAAACACCAGCGCTCAGCTTCCTCACACAAGCGAAGCCCCCAATTTTTGTTCTTCTCCTCTGATCTTTTGAGCCACGAGCGGAGCTTCCTCCTCTTTCTGCTGTCCAAGCCACAAGATTCAGAAGGCCCCTTCTCCATCTTAAGCAAACAATACAAAGCTAACTTCCATTTCCAGCCACCTCAAAAAAGGTTTCAATGGTTTCTTTTGTTTCTTTTGTTCCCCCCAACACTATTAATCGATTTTATTATTCATGGCAACTATTCTACGATGCTTGTGATTAGCTCATAACCTCTATTTACTTGGTAATTATTGGCATGCATATAAAAGTGATCAGATAAATGAGGCCAGCCTTGCAATTTTGGCTCGCCCAACTTTGCAATTAGATGTTCACTTAGAGGAACTAGAGGGTCTATTGGGTAAACATGAGGCTGAACTTCTTGAGTTTAAGTTGATTTTGTAGAAGGTGCTTAAATTTGGATCATAATTTGTTGTGATGGTTTCTCCTTAAAATATTGGAAAATTTACATACATGATATACAATTTATATATATTTACATATCCAACACCTAAACTTCAATTCTTCCACACATACCACCTGACCCTATGCATGAAATGGAGTTAAATCCTTTGTGGTATGAAAATCTAGATGGTATATATGTAAGGGCTATATATGTAAATACTTAAGAGTCGTCAGGTACGTATGTGAACGCTTTCATGGAGGAAATTGAGGGTGGTATTTTTAATGAGATGTTAAGGTGGATTGGTGTTCGTAATTGTTGTCTTTGCTCCCTATATTTGCCAATTTAGGAAATGTTTAATGTTGGTAACATATGGTCACATATGCTTACTGTTCAAAACTGATTACTTATTTCTTGGGGGTTGCGCTTGTTCAATACTCTAACTGTTTGGAGTACTGTAAATTATTGCTTTGGAGAGAGATTTGGGATTTTTAATTTGTCGTTTTGAGACTCTTTTGAGAATGTTTCATTTGTTGTTTAGGGCATTAAAAGTGATGGAATATGCAGAAGAAGTGATGTTTGGGGCTTTTAAAACTGTTGATTTGGAGTGATTTAAAGTGTTGTTTGGGGCTGATATCAGAAAGGTTTTGGCATAATTTAAGCGTTGATTCACATGCTGATTTGAAAACTTTAAATGTTACTATTTTGAGCCAATCAAAACACGGTCTAAGGGTAGATTTAAACACTCTTCTTGTGGGTTGATTTAATTACAGTTGTTGAAAAACCTTAAACGTTTTTAGGTCAATTCACTTGTTGTTTTCTGCCTTAGTTTTGTTAGTTTTAGAAGTGGGTCGGTCTTCTCTTTTCTTTTGTTTTATTTTTTTCTTGTTAAATGATTAAGTCAAAATTGAGAATTTCTGATTTAATTATTTGAAAAACACTAAAATATATTTGATGATTAGTATGAAAAAAAAAACTTAATTGAGAGTAAGACACCTTAAATCACTTCAAGCATAGGTTAACGTGTAGGCTTCCTAGATTTTATGAGCACACCCTAAGTGAGAGTTCATTTACCTAATTTTCAAATGAACAATGAAACTAAGCATTTGGCCTTAATTCACAAATTGATTGAAACACTAAACACGATGATACACCAAGATGTGATTTATGACTTCCTTAATTAAATCAAATAGTGAAATTCCCGCAATGGCTTAACCAACAGTGAAACTCAATGCAGAGGGATTTGAGCTTGAATATTACACTCAAATTCTTCTGGTAATTAGGGACATTTGTTAATACCACATATGGATCACCGGATTAGCTAAGTCTAGGGCCTAGGTGGCGAGGGCGATGACAATAATGCTTATGTGTGCTTAAATGAGGGTATGAAGTGGGATTATTATAATAGTATCGCTTACCTTAAGGACCTTCAATGGGGGGAGAAGATAAGAACCGATGATACTATTCGCCAACTCTTGGTAAGATTATTGTCTCTGATGCTCTTAAGTCGCCAGTAGTCCTAGCCTGACTAGAGTAATTAGTCTGTGGACTACACTACTATACAAAATATTTAAAAAAATAAAAACAAAATTTTCTTTATCTGTTAAAGTGAACTCTGCATGTAAATCTAAACAACAACTTTTTCATTAAAAATCAAAGAATTTCGGTAAAACTTATAAAGGTTCACGGCTGGTCACTTGAATTAAAGTTAAGGACCGACTTCTGTAGATTGTCGGGCTGGTAGCTCTTACCCAAGGTTGGGAAGCAAACAATAGAGCTTTGAGCCCCACCTTCACCGATTACTTACACCCAGCTCCGGTCTTCTATATGTGACCACGAGTTTTGTTTTGTATGTTTGTGTTACAACTCGTTTTGTCTACTTTTACACTAGAATTCTTGTTTTCTTTCTTTTTCTACAATTTATTTAAATTCCCTGCAAATTATATTATGTTATATGAACTAACCATGCAACGGTAACAA